GCAATGATGATCATAATGAAGTGAGTTTATCTGTGACACTATGGGCATTTGTACACCACACCTTAAGGCAGGTTAAATGCCCTTTTGCACCACATTAATTGTGCTGCTGTTTGCACATTTGGCAGTGTGATGTGCCCTAAATAACTTTGGGATGCAGAAAATGACTTTGGAATTCAGCAAACTAAAACACCTATGACATGTTTTAGTTTCCTACCTTACAGCCATGGAGGGAAGTACCGAGCCCCATGAAGCTCAGGGGCTGTGCAGGCAGCAACCCAGGAAGACAGGCTCCACTGAAGTGGGGGAAAAAGAAGTGGCAAGCCTGGTCTTCTTTTTTTTTCCTGGAGCCTGCCTGCCTGCCTGAGCTGTGTGGAGCCCTGGTGCTTCCCTTTGTGGCTGTGATGCTTCCCAGGACTGCCTGAGTTGGGTGCCTGTGGGTGGGTGCAGCCTGGGGAGTGCTACCACTGCCACAGAGGGAAGCACCAACACCCCCTACAGCTCAGGGATCGTTTGGCCCACCAGAAGCTCATTCTTTCCTCCCTATCGCTGGAGAGGCAGGTAAGGATTGGATGTATGCATGCCACGGGGGTTTACTTCACCCTAAATTGAAGTGGTGTTTTTAAAAAAACACTGCTTCAGTTTAGGGAGAATTAAACCCCTGTGTTATGTACAAATGCCCAAAGGCCACATCTATATGTTACACTTTAGATATGATTAACCAGTTAATCACATCTTAAATTGTAACCCAGCCACATATTCAATCAATTAATGGTGTGATAAAGGAAAAAATAAGCCACAAAGTTATTCCACCAAAAATGTGCAATAACTTTGTGGCTCATTCTTATCATGCTATTAATTGAATTTTCAGCTGGTCCTCTGTGGCTGGGAGTCCCATCAGCTGCAGAGGCTCACAGCTGCAGGGGTGCACTCCATGTGCTGCCATAGCTGTGAAACCCACAGCTGAGGAGACTTGCAGCCAGGACACTGTCCCATGCACTGTCCCAGCTGCAAACCTCATCAGCTGTGGAACTCACAGCAGCAGGAACTTGTTTCTTGCTGGTACAGGGGGAGCCCAGGATTGTAATTCCAGGCTCCCCCTGCACCAGCAATAAGGTGTGATTGGACTTGATACTGGACCACACAATCATGCCTCCTGCCATGTGGATTGCACATCAGATCCTATCATGCTTTTGCCTGAATATTTAGAGGGGTTCTATGGGTGCTTGTGGATGTGCCAGGAGGCTGCTCCAATGCACTGTAATTACAGTGTGTCAGAGCAGACTCAATTAATCAAGTCTGCTGGACCATGCTAATTAGCACACTTCAGCTGCATCCACATGTTGTGTATCAGCATGTGGTGGGGGCACTTTAACTAAAACTTATTTAACATTGCTTAACTTGTTCAATGTCATTAAAACACTCCTGCCACCATTTTGAAGTGTGGAGACACTGATACATGAGAAGTTGTGGGCACTTTAATTAGAGAGCCACTCTAATTAAAGCATCCCCCCATACATTTCCAGACGACATGTAAAAATGCCCTATGATATTACCTGTTCTGATAGTTCCTATGCTGGAAATGTTTGAAAAGTTTCAAGGGACCTGATGACTCAGTGAGGGCCAGACCCTCAAACCTGACACAGGCCAGGACTACTTACTTATTAACTTTTGCTGGCACAGCTATCTCTAGCAGCAGAGTGAAGAGATGTAACTTATGATGAGTATAATTGTCCTGTCCTGCCCTGCCTTGTATACATGCAAAACTGCACTTTTGCTGGTATAGTTATTTTTTGCTCAGTGAAGTTAGAAGAAACTGCGCTGGCAAAAATTAAGTTCTTCTCCTATACAACTGGTCTTAGGCAAAACTCCCATCCAAATCACAGGAGTACATATGACTTAAACCACATATATTAGATTGTTAAACCTAATAAGCAGAAAAGAAGCTGAATCATGCCTTCATTATATTGTACATTATTTAATTTCCTAGAAATAAGGTTATTTCTCTAGAATATTTATTGACCCTAATATCAAGATAAAATTTTAGCCAACTTTTTAAATGAAGTCTTCATCATTTTACCAGGAGGAAGCATGTTTTACCACCTGAAACCTGAGACATTGTTCCTGCCTTTGTTCGAGGTAATTTGCATCATCACAGAGCTCAGAGATACCTCACCACATAAAAAATTCCTGCCCGGAGGAGCATTCCATCTTTTGACTCTTCTGTGAAATATGAAACATCATAACCAGAAGGAAATATGACTATATCCTGCTCGCCACCAAACAACTTCAAGGTAAGCGGACTATTCCAACTTTTCTATGAGCCTAACCTGCATAAAATGACCTGTTCTGAATAGGAGATTTTACACCTTCAACTCTCCTATGAAATATGAAATTCAATTTCTACCGAGGAGAATTTTTACAATCTTTTGTCCTATGCCTGATGAAGGGTGTTTGTGCCTGAAAACTTGCAATTAAAGACACTTTTGTGCAAAAATCGAGTTGGTCTAATAAAAGATACCATCTCTACCACAAGTTCTGATTCCTTTACTGACCTTAACTTTCAAATTTACTGCAAGCATAATGACATAAGAAAATGACGTGACAACACACTTTCTCTTGTGTATGAACAGAGTGGGGTGTATGCTGGTTAGGATGCATTAAAAATGAAATTTTTACGTACATATTTCCATAGAAATTTTCTTTCACTATTACTTTCAATGACAGCAAGATCTCCAAAACTCTTCTTGCAGAACACCCTAGCTTTTGCCATAGGAACACTTTCTTTGCTGAAAAAATACTGCTTGTCTCCATTTATAATCCATCCATCTTCAGTGACTTCATATTCTGCAATGTAAATAATTAAATTCCACTAGCCATACCTGAGTTATTCTCATTATACAGTGTTATTCTTAGCTAAAAGGAAATATTTAAGAACTTACTGGCAGAAGAGCTTTTTGGTTCTGGTTTTAATGGTGTTCCTATAAAGAAAATAACATGTGAACATGTAAATATCTGATGCATGTTCTTCCAGTGAATTTAATATTCCTTATACATTAATTCGTTATTTAGTAAAAATTAAATAAAAAAAAATATTCAGACATTTTCCATGTGATTGACACATGCATTAGAGAACACATTAAACTCAGTAAAATGTCATTTTAGGCTGTACAGACTTTGGCAGCCCCCTTCCCTCCTGCTGGGGATGGGTTGGTGCTTTGCTACATCCCCTCTCCACGCAGGGCCAGGCCATGCTACCTTCCCTCTCTACCAGGTGGGGTTGTACCTGGCCACACCTCTTTTCTTCTCCACAGGGCAGAGTCAAACTCCTTTCCTCTGTGGGGTTGTATTGGGTCCAGCCTGCCCCCTAGCCCTTCTGCACAGCCAGATGGTGTCCGTCATGCCCACCTGGGTGCCCAGATTGGAAACAGTGGCTGGCTCTGGCCTGCAGATGGACTGCCAGCTTGGCTCACTGGGCAAAAAGGTTGGACACCCATGTTCTAAGATATAAAACTAAAGAACTGGGCATATTAACAAGGAGTATCTTTATCGGGCCATTTGTTGATGTGCTTCATGTTTTCTAAACTATGTTATCTGATTCCCATCACACAGTTAGGATCAAATTTCAATTTGAATTAAGGGTTAATAGATTATCATTGACAGCCCCTTAACAGACCCAATTTTAGCCTCTGCGTGTGAGTGTATGCTGTTGGAAGTAATTAGGAAGCAATAATAAGCCTGTGGAAGTACTGCTACATTATAGCAGTTATCTAAAGTGCTGTGCAATTTAGGTAGTTGGGTGCCCTGTTGTTGGCACATTTGACTTTAGGAAGGTGTTATTTTGCATCTCATAGGCTCTGTTGTGTTGCAAAAACTCAACTGAGTTTCCCTTGTGGGGATTGATAGTTGCAATCCTTATCTGTTTATCTGAGTTCCTAAGAATTGTTTTTCCTCAAAGCCATGCTGTGTATACATTGTAATTAATACAGTTTAAATTGCCTAATTCAGACTGCCCTAGTCTGCATTAACTTTAATCCTCATTCAACAAGGATTAGTTAATTTGGACTGAAGCCAATTTTAATTCAGACTACAGATGTCCACATGCATATAGTGATGGCTGGATTAAACCTAGAAAAACATCATGTCTAAAATGCCCTTGGAGTTTATCCACATCTGACTGAACAAAAAGGTTTGGAGAATTTCTGCTATTTATTCATTAATAATTCTGAAGTTCCCTACCTCAAAACACTGCTGAAGTTCCACCACTGATGAACTATTACAGAAGCCCCTTGACACTAATGGCCATAAAATGGCTCTATGAGTCAGATCTAGCCCACAAACTGTAGATTGCTAACCTCTAGTTTATGTGGTCTGGATTTACACTTTCTTACTACATTTACTGCACTACTGTGTCTCAATTTCTTAACATATTGCCTTATGGAAAGAATGATTCTCATAGTCTCATGACTTGAATTTATATTATACCAGCTAAAATATCTTTCACAATCTGGATTTTTTTTATTAGAACGAAACCCTCAAGACTTTAAAACTTGATATAAAGAAAGCAAGGAGGAAATGATTCAGGTCGTCTAAAACATTGATTTTGACAAAATCAAAAATATGAATTTTGATTTTGACTTCTTCAGGTTATATATTGTACTGTGATATATTGTATTGCATTATCTTGTATTTTATGAAACAAAAAGGTACATTCATAATTAAAAATTAAACAGTCTAGTCTGAAACTATTGAAATGGGGTATTTTTTACTTATTCCTAGATGGAATTTGTCTTAAGAGAAAAGCAGAAGACAAAACTACAGTAAATCTGATTGATATTTCAAAGCGTTTCAGTTAATAGAAATCCATGTTGGATACAACATCGAAATTTCTCTGTTCAGCTGAATTCTAATTTAAAATACAAAGTAACCTGCCTTTCCTTATTTCACAAATCCAATCATAAAAATGGTCACACTGCATGTTACTCCACTTCATGGAAGTCTCTTTACTGACTGTTCCACACAGATCAATTCCAGGATTGTTGTAATCATATGATGCATGCCAATTTCCATAGCTCATCTATAGAAGAATACAACATTGTTATTTTCCTCTTTAAAAAAGAAGGAGTATAAAGGAGTATAAGTTTCTCACACTGACAAGGACAGGGAAGAGAGAGACATAGTGATATTAGTCTGAAATCATATAGAAGACAAAGTAGAATTGCACTTAGACTATCCAAAGAGAGAGAGAGAGTGTGCGCATGTGTGTGATGTACTCCTGTGCATTTTACTCAAAATGCTGCAAGGCCTAAGTGAGGAAGTCTCGTGTTGATTGGGTGGTGGAGTGATAAAAATAACTCTATTTTCAGATGAACTTTGATAAAAACAATTGCCAAACCACACACTTTATTTCTATATATCACACAAGATTTTGTGAGCTGAAGTTCACTTTATCAGATGCTGTGAAAGGATGTACAGAAAGCAGAGTGTAAGAAGGAGACAGAAGACAGCATTCAAGTTAAATTTCAAGCCATTCATTTACTTCTTGGGCCTTATTGTGCTATGGCAGCTATTGGGAAGTGAGGTGACACACATGGCTAGTGGATTCCAGCAGTCATCTATAGACCTCTTTGGTGTGTATAGGCATGGGCTGGGCGTATAATTTAAGGGTAGGGGGAGAGGAACTGAAAAATATATCTCCAAGCAGTAACTCAACATAGACCCAAGGGACTGTATTATAAATTTGCCACAGTAAGACAATTATAGACAATTATCTCCAAGTTTGAAATCAGGTTTTTTTTCTTTGATTCTCTCTCTCTCTCAATCTGTTCACATGCACAGGAGGAGGTATTATCATCATGCAGCATAATCTCAGATTGTTAATGTTGTTTAGTTATTTTAAGTGTGAGCTGATGGCCTACTGGTAGATTGTAGCTATCTGTGATCCATATCTATCATTGAAATAGTCTCTAATTAATCTAAAGATTATGAAGTTAGTTTTTAATAGTTTTCAATAATGGTAAAATATTTGGTATTTTACTATGTCACTCACCAGAGATCCATCACTCCAAAGAAATCCCTCATCTGGATCCAAGTAAAATAAACCAATCCAAAAAGGCTGATCTGTTAAACTTCTGTCTCTAAAATATGTGACAGAAATATAATAATAGAATAATATATGAGGCTACCTATTGTCATACACATTACAATTTAGTGTTTACAGAACTTCAACAAAACTAGAGGTTCCCTGTAAAAATATTCCTTAGATCTACTGGAATGATAAAAGAATATTTGGAGAACTAAACCCTGGGGCTTAGTTTTTTTTATTTAGTTCATATAAGCATTACTATATGACTGTATAAGATATCATAAGTGTAATGTATGACAAGACCCTTAGAAACCAACCGTTTTCTAAATGGTTCAAAACAAGAAAACATCCATGGGCTTGACTGCATTAGCCACAGTCTCAACAGGATTGACAATAGGTTCTTACCCCATTACCTGGAGGAACTGTTTACTTGGGGGTCCATACAGTACTTACTTTGTTCATCTCAATTGAGCTAATGAGCCCTCTTGTCATCACGCTTAGCAGTATCTCCTCCTTCAGCCCTTTCCCTTCTAAAAAGAAGCTTTCCTTCCTGCTACTCTTTTTATTTGACAAAATAAGTTATCTATTGTGGCAGGCCTAGCCCTGGCAGGAGGTCATAAACCCAAGCAGTCAGTTGATCTTCCCTCCTCCTTCTAGCCCTTCTGAACTGGCATCCTGTATCTCATCTGCCACAGCTTGATTGAACCATTTATGTGGAAGGCATCCTGAGCCTTAGTGTGGCGACTTCCTTTGGGTCACTGGGCTACCCCTTTTTATACTTGTCTGGGCCCTAACCCTCTTGACCGGGGCGCCTGATTGGCTGTTGGGGCAGGGGCGGGAAATTCAAACCCCAGGCTTTAAAAGCCACGGGGTGACGTAGTTCCCAGCACTCGGGAACCAGCAGCGGGAAGGAGAGGATCCAGGCACACGTGTGTCCCGCACGCATGTGTGCCCCCTTAACTAACTAATTTACTGACCTGAGGCGGAGGAGGAAGCAGTAGCAGCAGCAGCAGCAGAGGAAACAGCAGCGGGGGCAGCAACAGCTGATCCCCCGAAGGTAAGAGGGGCGGGGGGACCTGGGCCGGCACGGGCGGGGAAGCCCCCCGGGTCCCATATAGCTGAGCTGGTAGGGAGCAGCACTCCCGAGCCGCGCAGCACGAACAGAGCGCACCGGCGTTTGCGCAGGCGTTTGTGCCGGCGGGCGGGCAAGAAGGGTCAGGAGAGAGACTCCTGTACGGGTAGGGCAAAGACACCACACAGATCTACAAACAGCAGCTTAGAATGGTGTCGACGAGGAGTGCTGCTAGGGCCTCTGCCCAGAGGGACATGGCTAACCGGGGCTGGTCTGAGGCCTCCACCCAGACCGAGCCCATGGGGGAGCTGATATCCTCCTACCTCCTGGCCTACGGGGCATCCCCAGCAGGGCCAGGGGGGGCAGAGATTGGGGGCCCCCACACCTGTCTGGCAGGTGCCCGTCTTAGGGGTGTGGAGGC